GTGTGCTCGGAGGTCCCTCGGGGCCTCCACACCCCAAACCGATTTTCAGATGCACGCTCTGCATTATTTAAATTGCTTTCTCTTAAGAGTTCTGTCTTTGCGTCTGCCTCCTCTCTCTTGCTGGACATCCTCAAGGATGGGGGGGGGGCTCCAAAGATCCGCGTTCCCTGAAGCAGAACTGTAGTTGCACGTGCTCACCTTCTTCTCCCCCAGGGCAGCACAGCTCCCCAGGAGATGACACTACGGTCAGTACTCGGTTCCTTGCCAGGTACTCCGAGGAGGAGCCAGGCAGGGTCCAGAGGAGGGGGAGGAGCATGCAGAGAGTCCTAACAGTTTGCCTCCCTGGCTCACAAGCCCGTGTGGGAAAACAGTGATATTATGATTTAGTAAGTCAATTCTTTTTTCTTAATTTTTTTTTTTAAATTTCTAGAGGGCATATGCATTTACCAGAGAGAGAGAAAACACCCCCCAGTGAGGTGTGTCACGCTGCAGTCCCTTCTCCATTTTTCCATCCTGTTGGGGTCTGAGGCAAGCATGCACTTGTACCACGTGCGTTTTGCAAGCCATGTCCTGGGATTCCATCCACGCAGTCGGCCATGCGGGATCTGGCTGCCCTAACCACTAAACCATGGGCTAGCCCATAAGTCAGTTCTTTTAACAGGTCGTCCTCACTGACGAGGTTGAGGCCCCTTTACTACAATCTAATTGCCTGCTTTTCTACATCTGGCCTCTGGAGATACAAAGCAAAACGCACCTGCCTTTAAGGAGCTCACACGCAAGGAACAACAGGCACATGAATAATGGCAGTGTGGACAATATGACATCCTCGGGAGGAGGCGTTTGTAGCAGTAGCCCCCGGGTGCCATCAGCCCATACCCACTGACTACCAGACCCCTCTGCAACTTCACCCTTACCTGGCCCAGCCTTACACACCCAAGGCCCGCTTCCTCCTCCGCTCCCCTCCTCCCCCATCTGTAACCTCAGTGAATGGCATCTCTGTGGGTCCCTAAATCCAGCTGCTCTTCAGGCCGCCCTTCCCTTCCCCTCCTGTTTACTCTGCCTCGGGAATCCTTCTCAGATGCATCTTCCTTCCCTCCGCTGTCACCACCCTGATCCTAACTAATGCCATCTTTCATCTCCCCATCTGCTAATTGATTCTTCCAGCCCTGCTCTGTGTTCTTTGCCAGCGGGATCACTTATCACCGATGCCCCACCCTCGCCTCCTCACACACACGCACACACACTCACACTCACACTCCCACACGCCCAGGTCCTCCCGTGGTCTTCTGCTGCTTTTAGAGGAGAACCAGTTGTCAGCACAGAAGTCAGCCAGCTGCAGCCCCACCCATCTCCCAGCCTTACCCCATTGTTACTAGCGCTCCAGCCACACAAGTCTTCCTTTTTTCTTTTCATTAATTTTTCCAGAGGGCACATGTGCTCACTGGAGAGAGAGAAAGAGAAGGGAGAAAACGAGACAGCACCTCCTATGGCGTCACAGTGCGATCCCTTCTCCATTTCTCTCTTAGGATTTTGGACACGCGTGTACACATGCCTGGCGTGCTTTGCTTTGCTTTGCTTTTCTTTTTGAAAGAGATTTTTGCTGTAAGACACATGTGCTCGCCAGAGAGAAAGCAGGAAATAACCCCCCTAGGGGATGGCCACAGTGCAATCCCTTCTCCCCCATTCTCGTGGGATTTGGGGCCCGCATGTATGCACACTCAGTGTGAGTTCCAAGTTGCCGTGTCCGAGACTCGAACTGTGGTCAACTACGTGGGAGCCCAGGGATGTAACCATGTAACTAGTCCTACCTGGCATGTTTTTCTAGCTTCTGGGTCTGACACTAGAACAGCACAGTCAGCCAGGTGGGATCCAGCCACCTTAACCACAAGGCCATCAGGCGGCCTTCCTCTTTGTCTTATTTTTAAATTAAACGTACATTAAAATAGACTTTTTCCCTATTGACACACAGTCCTGTGATTCCTAAAGCTTGTGCTAGTCTCTCGATTACACCTTGACCACGCCTTGCACCTGCCTGCCCCAGGCCTTTGCAAGTCCTGTCCCTCTGCCAGCCTGCCCTAGACAGGGTCACTTCCCCCTCCAGCTCAGCTCAGGCCTCCCTTTCTCAGAACAGTCCCCTCTGATCCCAGCTCTGGGTCAGCGCCTCTGCCCACAGTCCTTGCCCTACCACGCTTTTCCTTCTTGATGTTCTCAGTAGGGGTCTTAGACTCCCTGGTGAGGGGCTCCTTGGCCGTGGCCGACTCGATGCTAACGGGCACACGTGTGGGTTTTTGCTCTCCTCTGTGCCTAACATGGTGCCTGCCACCACCTGGGCCCCTGCCATCCAACTCAGCTCTGCTGTCTGACGAGGGGGGCAGTAGAGTGTAGCAGAGGGAGCCTCGTTTGGAAATCAGGCTCAGGACCAGCAGATGGCATAGTGGCTATGTTGCTGGATTCCCATGTGGTTGACCGTGGTTCGAGTGCTGGACCCGGTGGTTAAAACTCATGCCAGGTGTGTGTGCGTGCCCAAGGTCCTGAGAGGAGAATGGAGAAGGGATTACGGCATGGCCATCTCCCCTGGGGGGGGTGATTTCTCGCTTTCTTTCTCTCTCTCTCTCTCT